AAAGAAAAAGAAAAAGAAAGAAAGTACGTACATTATGCAATCAAAAGATTCGAACCAAAATTGCCTTTCCCCTACTGTGGCCCTAGTGACTGAATTGTACACACATGTACCTACAGAATCGATACAGAAAATTACAGATAGTATTGTTAGTATTGACGGGTCATGAGCTCAAATCCAGACGGATACGAGCCCCTCGCCCTCCCTTCTTGGTGAATGTCGGGGTCAGTCAGATTTTGACGACAAACAAAGGCATTCTTCCAGACAAGGTCCTCAGAGAGACAGTCTTCCTTCTTCTTTGAGAGAGAGCGCAGACTCTCGACTCTCGAGGCTCGGGCGGATATACAGATGTATTAGGTCTTCTTTTCTTGCAGTTTCGGAACCCTTCACGTATTACATTGCTATGACACGATCAAGAGTAACCCTTGGCCTTGGTAACATGACTCCTGGGAAAGGTGCTAAGCGCTCTTGACAGACTTACAAAAGATTGAAAAGAATGGCTTACTCACACAACAACAACAACAACAACAACAACAACAACAACAACAACAACAACAACAACAACAACATCGACAACAACAACAACAGCGCTAAGTGCTCTTGACGGACTAACAAAAGAATGGCCTACTCAGAAAACACCAACACCAACACCAACACCACCACCAACAACAACATCCACAACGACAACAACAACAACAACAACAGCAAAAGGAAATGCTTACTCACTAAGCAAACGGGCACCGCAAGAACTGCAGCTTTAAGGTCCTTTTAGGCACGCCCGGGGACTTCGGGCAAACGGGCACTGCAAGAACTGCAGGTTCCGCTGAACCCCTCCATTCCAGGCGTACACAGGTCATTCATCACACGCCCGGGTACCTCGGGCATGCCCAGCCGGGCAGGACTGGGTACCTCGGGTATGCCCGGCCAGGCAGGACCGGCCGGGCATGAAAATCTTCCTAGCTTTAAGGCTCTTTTAGGGCCCATTTGCAACCATTCGCATTTCAATTGAATTTCATTCATAGGCAAAGTGCAGTTTAGGCCCTTTTAGTGCCCATTTGCGACCAATAGCAACCTTTTTTTGCAGGTCATTCATGGCTTGTTTTGGCACCTCTGCAGCTCATTTTTTGCAGTGGTTTTGCGGCATGTTTTCTTTTTTAATGGCTCTTTTTCAGAACTTCCAGGTCGTCTGGGTTGCCTTCACTGCCCCTCCAGTGACGTTGGTCTAGCGTCTTCCCCCGAATAGAACGCCCGGTCATTATAGCTGTATTTGGCACGCCTTTCGGTCCAGATGCAGCGATAATGACCAGGCATTCTGTTCGGGTGAAGACGGTAGTGACTTTGGCTCATTTGGTTATTTTAATATCTTTCATTGGCTGTGCTTATGGCTATGCCCGGTTGCATGGGTTCAGCAGCACTCTGTGGCACCGCCGAAACCCATCGCACTTAACCCCCCAACGTCATGAGGTCTGCTGCACAAGAGGAACATATGTGTTTATTAAAGATGGCAACCACAGAAAGCAGTCCAGAGGGAGTGTTTCCTGCAAAACCGTCGGAGGAAGGGGTCTCCAGGCGAACACCGGACTTCTTGAAATGAAGAACTTAAGCCAGATGGGCTGGAAACCCCTCCTTTGTTTCAAGAAGGGGGGGGGGGGGGGGGGGTGTTCAGAATGTGGACCAGGTGGGCTGGAACCCCCTTCTTTGCATGGATGGATTTCGGGTGAAGCGGCACCCTGGTACATCCCGCCCGATGTGCCCACATGCATGGCGTGTTTCTGCAAAATGGATCGGAAACGTACTGAACTGCGTTGTCGCTGGCGTTCGTTTGCAATGGGGTAATGACATGGAAATGCTTTGATTCTTTGGACAGGTGTGTTTTGGCTAGTGTTCAATAGGAATTTTTGTTATTTGACTTGGTTAGATATACCTTGCTCGAACTTAATGGCTTTCGTTTTTATAGGTGGGCAACCCTACTTTATTCTGTTGCCGCTGTTTAAGTTCGATGCTTCGTGCGTGTGATGAATTTTCGTTATCTGGGTTGGTAGTTTTTATTTTGAGTATGTAGGGTGTTGTATGTGGGTTGGTCATTGGTAGGAATGGAGACGGTCTTCATGGTAGGGTTGGTACTGTGCTAGGGTAAGGAGTGTGGTGATCTGTTTTCGTAGCAGGGCTTGTGCGGCGTTAGGGTAAAGAGTGTGGACACTGTGTATGCAGGGATGGGGCTCCAGGCTCCTGGTGGGGCAGGACAACCTGTCGTCCCTGTTTTTGACTATCTTGATTATGTAATTGCCTTGGGCACTGGGCCCTGTTAATAAAAGCGCAGTTTCGGGTAAAAAAAAAAAAAAAAAAAAAAAAAAAGAAGAAGAACTGCGTTTTCAACTTTTCGTTAAAATTGAGTTTTTAAAACTCTCTTTCCATTTCACAATTTGTACTTGAGTGACGTGAAGAGATCGTGTGGCCTGTTCGGTAAGGGCCATTTTTTTGGGATGAGTGATCATCCATGAGACCACAACTCATCCCAAAATATGGCCCTCGTCGGACAAGGCTAAATCACCTCTTCAGGTCACTCAAGTACGAATTGTGAAACAGAAATCACGAAAATGCATTTGGCCTGAAAAGGGCCATATTAATGGTAGTTTAACTACCAGTAATTCATTATTAATATTATTAATAATATTAATAATGTACGGGAGAAGGCGTATTCATTATTAAATTAATTTAATATTATTATCGAGTATTTTCTAGTTGGGGGTATCAAAGGCTTGGGGGGCAGTCTGCAGGTGAAACTGCGGCCATCTGTCCGTATACACCATGATTGGTGAGGAGTCTGCCCACGTGCAGCTGTGTTTATAAACAGGTCACGAGTTCGAGTCCTGCGGAATCTTATCGATACAGCAAAAGCTTAGGAATTACCCCTTTGAAAAAAAGTAAAAAATAAAAAATAAAAAAATACAAGGAATGCGTCCAGATTTGGAGTGATGTACGGGCAGAGTTCCCTTTACGGACAACAAGAGTGTTGCCCCACTTCCGTCCTTCCCCGAACACAAATCACCCTATTATGAATGTATACAAGCTGTCTTTCTGGTCCAATACGGTCATGATGAGGGTGCATTATATTCGGGGGGGGGAAGATGGTAGACCTGTGGACTTTGTCTCNAGACCTGTGGACTTTGTCTCGTTCACCAGTTTGGAGAAATGTATACAAGCTGTCTTTCTGGTCCAATACGGTCATGATGAGGGTGCATTATATTCCGGGGGGGGGGAGATGGTAGGCCTGTGGACTTTGTCTCTTTCACCAGTTTGGACCATTTCTCGATTTTTGCTTGTGTCATCCTTGCACAGGGCCCATTTTGCTTATTACCCTTCTCTGTATTGTTCCAATTTTCACGGATGTCCCGACGGACTCATTGACCAGTTTGGGCCATCTCTGTCTGTTTTCTGTTTTCTTTTTTTTTTTTTTTTTTTTTTTTTTTTTTTTTTTTTTTTTTTGAAGGGGGTGCAGGGGGGGGCATATCTGCCTTAATTTGTGGCTTCGCAAAGTAAACGGTTTCTCTAGTTTGCTGTCACTGGAAGACGACCGTTCATTTTGGAGACTCTGATATGCCAGATCCGGCGGGTGCTTTTTCCTTTTTGCCCCCTTTTGGGATGTTGCTCTTGCCAGGCAGTGTTTGCAGAACTGAAGTCCGACCTTCTTGTAGCGCACTCGCTGCAAGAGAAGATGCATCTGTTTGAAGAACTTGGGGTGCGTTTCATTTCTAAATCTAAATCACCGATGGCGTCTACCTTTTCCCATCCACTTGTTGTCCTTTTTGAAAAAGCAAAAAAAAAATAAAAAAAAAATTAGGGGCCCACTGCCCAAGGTAAAATATAGTACAAAATTGAAAACTACTAAATTACTAAATTACACATCCACTGCAAAAAGCAGGAGCTTAATCCTGCACTTGTGACCGTAGATTTCTGCAATCTGCGGTCAGAAATGAGGGATACGTTTAAATGGGACTTCTTGGCCCCTGGCCTCAAGCCCTCACGTTCAGGCCAAGCCTTGGCCCCTACAAAAACCTCCTTCCCATTTTCCCCCGAACATAACGCATATGCGTTGTATTCGACTTTTGGGAAAATTCAAAAAATTGGAATAGAAGTTATAGAACACACATGCGTTGTATTTGAAAATTACGACTGTTGGCCAGTTTGGGGGCCGCGCGAAAACATGCGCTAACGAAGCGGCGATAGCGGCGGTGGCGGCAGCCGGTCATCGACAGCGGCTGAGTAGGACGCAACGGCGGGGCATGTAGACGCTGATCCTTTCCACAAGGCGCCTACCCTGCCAGGCACCATAGCTGTGTGAGAACTATGGCGACAGTGCCCTGGCGTAGCCTAGCCCTTGAGTGGGTAGGGAGTGCCTCACACTCTTACTCCAAGGCATCCTGGCAGCTCCGTATCTGACCTCCATACCAACCTTCATACCTGACAGGCTCTCGACACCAGAGGAGCCATCCTCCCCTCAAGCCTTTTGCTGGAAAGGGGGGGCTCCTTTCTCACCATCCAAAGGCTGTGCGCTGGACTTTCATGATACGCCATCTCGACTGCCTTGGTCAATAGGAGAAGCTTGGAAGGCGGAGCGGCGCATCTGGACGCAGTGGGCGAGTGTGCGGCTGCGGTGGCAGCGCTTCGGCATGTCCAAGGACTTCAGTTCTACACATCTTGTTTGCATGTAGGCATATTTTAGGCTAGTTTTGGTATTTCAGCAGGTCATTCGTTCGCACATCTAGTCGAGTGATTGCCTCAATGCCGAGGTACTCAATTGAAACTGCCTGTCTGTCTCTTTTACATCCTATGTGCATTTACTTCATGTTCCGTTTCTAATCCCTTCCTTTTCTCACCTAATTCGATTCCTTTTTTTTTT